GCCAGGCGAACGGTTCTGGTTTCGAGACGAGCTTCCGGCGCATCAGACGAAGGGAGGATGTTCTTTGGGGCTTCGAAAGTGCCAGGCACGACAGCCTACCGCCGGAAGAGCTTAGCAAACACAAATGCGATCACGAATTATGAGGCAGATTTGACTAGCAAGGACCGCGCGAAGCAGAAGGAAGCTGTAAGGAGGTTGTTGGCGGAGAGAGTGAGAGATGACTGGGAATGGCAATGGCCGGAGCCTGAAAGGGATATGAGAGTCTTTGATACACCTGGTTTGGAAATTCAGCACGAGGAGGAGCGCCGCCCGCGGTTATCTTTGGGTCTCCTACGCCGAAGCCGCGACCCTAGTCGGGAGCCCAGTCGCTCAATCAGCCGCGCTGCTAGCCCTGACCTGTCCGACCGTCCCCATCGACTCTCACTTAGTGTACTTCGTCGTAGTCGCGATCCAAGTCGTGAACCTAGCCCCGACCTGGGATCTGATCGTCCTCGCCGAATGTCTTTAGGACGCCTCCGAATGAGTCGCGATCCTAGCCCTGAACCTGTCGAATTGGAGTGGAGGCAGCGAGACGAGTGGGTTAGCGACTATAGTGATAATGAGACTATTCCCCAGGCGTCTCCCTCCCTGGAGAAGACATCGTCTGCGTCACATCCGAGCCCGTTTCGTTTCGAAACGCCAGATGGTGTTGGAGAATCAGTTCAGCGAGGGGAGGATGAGAAGAGAGAACGGAGGACGAAACGTAGTAAGGAAGAGATGCAGTTGAATGACGGATTACGGTGCTTCGTGGAGAGACGGGATGCATGGACTGGCGCAAGACATGTCCCAAAATCTCCCATCAGTCCGGCTATGACCAGAACGAGATCGGATTCTAGTGAAGACGGCCATAGCTCTACGGCCATTGACAACGATGAAGACGAAATTGAAGAGGATACAGACACGGAAGTCCCTATCGCACCGCCTTTGTTGCCTCCGAATAACGCCATGCGCTCGAGTATTACTCCAGATAATTACAACACCATATATGATAAAGTTGTTCTCCAACAACTCTCACCCTCGTGTCCTATCAACCTCAAAGATGTAGTTCGAAGCTGTGTTCACGGTTGGAAACGTGATGGAGAATGGCCACCTACAGGCACACCCATGGAGCCAATGAGAACGAAGAAGAAGCCGAGAAAATTGAGCGTTGCGAGTATTTTCGGGTTGGACAAAGGAAAAGACGAGAAGGATAAAGAGCCGGGAAGTCCGATTAGAAGGGGTTTGCAGAGACTTATGAGTAGGGGAAAGGATGGAGGTTCTGCGGTGCAGAGTCCTACGACACCTGGCAGACCAGTTACACCAAAGGATGGAGCTGGCGCATAAGTACGATGCGAGAACGTATTGGTATATCAACATAAGGTGGGTGGTAGTTATCTGGTAAAGCGTTGGGAAGTACCTGCGCATGAAACTCTTCTCTGGTTGCGCTAAGCATTGATTTGGTTATGGTCAGCATTCGCATATGAATCTTATGAATCCTCATGATTGTTAGCATTAGGCTTTAGTGTTTAGCATTGGTTAACGATTGATGATGGATAGAGGGACGGTATTATAGTAATTGATAATGTCTCAACTCCGAAGGTGTGTATTTTGGGGTTTTCCTTGCGGTGAACTTGAGTATTGACTTGGAACAGATTGAAACCTCGTGACTATCCTTTCAAGCCTGCTAATCTATATTAGAGATTAGGACATGACTGTTACCTGAAGAGGCATGCTCACGACAGGCGAAAATCATTGATGTTTCTCAACCTGGTCTTTATCCAACCCAGTCACGTGAGCGGCCTCGTAAGTCACTTCGCCGCAACACTCAGCCACGACCTACATCCTCATCGCCAAAAAAGCAACACATCTCATCTTCAACACATCTTACAAACGAAGATGAATTTCATCTCCTTCACCGTTCCCTAACACATCCTCACCAGCAATGGAAACTCACGAGGACGACCACCCTCAAGCCGACCCCGAAGATGCGGTCGACCTCACCCATGTCACTTTCATCTACCGCCTCTTCACTATATCCTGGGGCATCACCTTTTTCCTCATCCTCACTTTATACCCCATCATCCTCCTCATCGAGCATTTCTCCACGTCCTCATTTGCGCGTTGGTATACCCCCATAAAATGTCTCGCGCTCTTCTTCTTCCTCGTCCCGTTTATCCCGCTGCTTTCTGGGCCTTGTCTGGGTGCCTGCTTGACATTCCTGTTTATCTTGATTAAATTGCCGTTTATTATGGTCTGGGGACTTGGAGTGGCGTATTTTAAACTTGGGATGCTGGTTGCGGGTTGGCTTTGGGGATATCTCTTTTCTGGAGTTAAAATCGCGGTGTTTAGAGCGCCGCTGTTGGAGTGGTTTTGGAGACACTGGACGTTTCAGACGCCGCGGTTTGGGTGGGAGTCGATTCCGGAGTCGCGGTCGAAGGTGGGGGATGAGCATCATCGGACGACGAGTCAGCTTTGTGAGGGGTGTATGGGGGTTATTGAGAGGTCTGGTTTGATTGTGGGAAATTCGAGGGTGGTGACGCCCAGAAGGGAGGTGCATGGGTGGTTGTTGCATATCAAGGGGGTGGAAATCCGGGGAGAGGAGCAGGTTGCGTGTCATTTGTGTAATATTCTTTGGTATAGTATGGAGAGGAAGGTGAGGGAGGATGTGGCGAATGGTATGAATTATGGGAGGAGGGTGATTGAGCGGGAGGCTGGTGGTGAGGGGCTGGAGTCGGGTAAGCAGGAGGTTGAGCAGATTGTTCAGCTTAATGTGGTGATTTATGAGGAGTATGGGAGGAGATGGTATAATGAGCGGAAACGGTATATTCAGGTTTGTGCGTCGCCGGGTATGGCGGTGCAGAACAATATGCGAGCATTTCTGATATCTGAAGGTAAGCTTTTGTACTCTCCGTCAGACTCAATGCTGATTTCTGTTATCAGAATCTCTGAAAGGCGAAAGTGCAAGTATTGAAGTGCCATTTTGGACTGGGGCTCCTGATTGTATAGACTTGGCGAGGGAGTGGATAGAACGATGCGAATCGGAACACGACCTCTGTAAAACAACAAACGCTACTACCGATATCTTGCCAACAAGGCTTGTTTACGTAGGGAGTCTAGTGTCACCCGAACTTCGAATTCATACCACAAGTCCAGGTGAAGATATATCCTACCTCGCTTTGAGTCACTGTTGGGGCAAAAGCAAATTCGAATCATTATCTGTCGAGAATCACGAGTCGTGGTGTAGAGGAATAGAACTCGAGACCCTCCCAGCAAATTTTCAGGACGCAATCCATTTCACTCGCAGTATCGGAAAAAGCTTTGTCTGGATCGACTCATTATGCATTATTCAGGATTGCCCCGAAGATTGGGCCAGAGAAGCAGCAAAGATGTCGTCAGTCTACTCACAAGCGTATTGCACAATATCAGCCAGCGGCGCAGACGAGGCAAATGGAGGCTGTTTCCGAACACGTAATCCGCTCATGAAATTCCCCTGCAATCTACTATTTTCCGACGATGATACACTCGCTATCAGGACTGTCGATTCTGCATCTGAGAACGATAATTTCGGTGTTGAAGTGGATGCTAGTCCACTTAGCAAACGAGCATGGGCATTTCAAGAAAGACTGTTGAGTAAGAGGATAGTGCATTTTGGAGCCAATTATCTGTTCTTTGAATGTAGTTTTCATTTTGCGTCGGAGTTACTTCAGGGAGGTCAGGAATTCAGCTCAAAGCGCACACCTGCTCCACCCAAACACTTTTTCAATAACTGGCTTTCGCATTTCTTATCACGCTTTGCTGGCGAAGGACATGAGACGAAAGGTCCGACCACCTGCGTCTCATCCTCGCGATATGACAGTGTGACTGGATATCGAGCCGCTTTCAATACATTACGACAGAGCGAACCAACTTTACCTTCGGACACGCATTTTCTGCAACTTCGTCTACATGCATCGTGGTACGAGCTCGTCACCATGTACACCAGCGCCGATCTAACGAACACTTCTGATCGATTAATAGCAATCTACGGGATCGCACAGGGAATACAAGATCCACAAGATCCACCAAATTATATCGCAGGCCTCTGGAAACATCATCTCCCATACGACCTCCTTTGGCACCTTGATACTGTCCCATCGCCTCGTCCGAGATATCCGCGAGCGCCGTCCTGGTCTTGGGGAGCGATTGATGGGAGAGTAACGCAATCTCTCCTCGTTCCTCCTGTCGCGAAGAAGGAACCGGATTTCCACATCATCAGTACAGCTAATATCATTGCTGTGGAAATGCTGGAATCTACACCTGGTATTGCGAAGGGTTATATAGATCTCGAATGCCATTGGTTTGATATAACAAATTTAACGTACGGTCCCAACCGCTATCATACTTCGAGTCTCGTGCTACGCACGACAGAAATCCCGTTCAAGGCGGAATATATACCTGATTATATGACTGAGCAGCCGGAGTTTTGTGTGGAGCTTGTTAGGGTTGTGAGGTTGGATCAAAGATTGCCGGCGACCTGGATACTGGAGACGCATGGGATTGCGCTGGGGGGGGAGAGGGGAGAAATTGGAAACGGCGAAGGGTATAGGAGGGTCGGAACGTGGGTTGCGAGGTGGGAGATGGATGTGAGGGAGGTCGAGGCGTATAGACAGAGAATGGGAGAAAGGGGGAGGAGTGGTGATGTGGAATTGTTTTTGGCGGCGTTGGGGGATGCGGGGAGGGGTGTTGGTGAGGGTGGGAGGAGGGTGGTGAGGGTTGTTTAGGGTTTTGATTAAGGGAGTTTCGGTGGTTTTGGGCGTTGTTTGGCGCAGTTGTGTTGTATGAAAGAAAAATCATACATGATAGAATACCCAGCTTTGGCGAATAGAAACACATTCCATTCTCTTTTATGCCATTTCTTTTTGCGAGACACACCTCCTTGTCATCAATCAGCCATAACAAACGTCCCCTTCACACCCAAGAAAGAGCTTTCATGCAACATGCTGCGCAGCTCACCAGATACCACCCCGCAGTTGATCGCAAAAATAACTTCTCATCTCTAAACAGACCAAAAGTACATCTGCTCCTGGTGCTGCTCCCAAGAGAGCCTTTTAGCTGCGTAAAATTGATAACGTATATAGCGGTATGACTTTCTACTTGTCTTTCTTGCTTTGAAACTAATGTTGGTACTACATTCTCAGGCTTTTTATGTCATCGAGTGACCATGAAATCTTACCATGAAATTTTGGAGATGATCGTTACGTTTAAGCAAAAGAATTGTGCGTGCACAGTAAGATGGTAAAGATAGTTCTTTGTTTGAAGGCTCGTTTTGCTAGATATAACATGTATGGTTTATGTTAGGTTGTAAAGTTGTTTGTAGGTTTTAAATCTTGAAAACCGGAGGAGGAATAAGTTTTAAGGGTTATAGTGTTACTACAAACATTTTTCGTAGGGTGTTACGTTAGTCCTCGATATCCTCGAGTACGGTAGTTATATCTGTAATCAGATTATCGTTTGTTTCAGTAATTACCGTGTGAGGAATCTGTATCTGAGGGCAAGTGGTAGCTTTCTTCGTAATGGGTGGAAGATGGTGATGATGATCGAGAAATAAAGAGTGGTTAATAAAGTTAGTTTTTACTGTAAATTTGCTGTTGTTTCTTCATGCTGATAACAGGAGTGCGTCATTGAGCCACTTGGCTAGCGGGTTGATCACTTCTATCCTACCCTAGAAATAGAAGGGATGCGTGAGCAGTATTTGCGCATCGTATGTACATTTAATTGTTTGACAAGATGGCGTTAGATAGCTCCAAGACCAAAGCCACTACATTCATAACTTCTGTTAGCTGCTTTGTGGAAATACTGCTGCTGCGTGTTTAGGATGTGTAGTAGACTTACCGAAAATTTGGTTCACGATAGGAAAATTTGCGCTCTTGCTTTGATAGCGTCTTTGGTTTCCTTCTCTATAATAAATACCTGTACTTAAGCAATAATTACTACAAACCATTCTGCAAAGTTATCTTCGTCATCTTCGTCATCCTAGTCAGTATATTCTAAGCGTCGTCGGTTTGCTCCAAACCGACAACAACAGCGCGCGCATTTTCGAGATCGTCCTCTTCTGTGCCATTGTCTGAGACAATGTCACGAGCGCGGTTTGCGCTTTCGCTTTCGTTTCGCTTTGCGACTTTTCGCGGATTTTAAGGTGAATTTGCGTACCTCGGGGAGGTGTTCTTTAGTGAGGTTCTCACGCTGGATGATAAGTGTCAACGTAATGTACTACACTGGAAAGTTAATGTGAAAATTCTTGGGTTAGGCTCAGTATGATTGAAAGTAGAATGGATATCTGTGTGGTGATTTGTGCTGGAAGCTACGAGGATGGGATGGTAAAAAAAAGCGCAATTTCGGGTTCTTGAATTGTGGGAGATTTTGAGTTATTGAGTTATGAGAGGGTTGCTGATGTAAATTGTTCTTCTAATAAGAAGGGTGTTTGGCTTTATGTATTTTAACTTGAGTGGCTGTTGGCTAATGTATTTGTAAAATGAGGGAGTGATTTTGTAATTTGCAGCTCTGCAATCCTTCTCCGGCCGAGTGGCTTCTCATCTGATTCTTGATGACTTCAATCAAAGTTTCAAACTCTCTTTCATAGAAAGAAAATCATCGTCTAACCATACCTTCAAAAGTGGCCGTTCCAATAAACGGCAACTGACTTTCGTAAAATCAGGAAATGATAATAGTAAGATGCCTATTCTCAATATCTAAATTCTACTCAAGTCTTGACCGTCAATAAAGAGGGAATCATAGTCCACTCATCTTTTCGAAAGAGGGTCTCCTCCAGAAGTTTGGAATTTGCGTCAGCATCATTTACGCATCGGTTTTACCGATTCCAGTACTTCTCGTAACATGGCGATTGATATCTCTAGTGCGTTCAACGCGAATACCGCGACATTCATCACCTCCGGTAGCTGCTCCGTGGCAACTTTGCTGCGTAGCTCTGGGATGCGTAAAACTCGCTTACCGCGAACCTGGTCTACAAAAAGCTTACTTGCCCTACTTACTGCTTTGGCAGATACCTCCGCCTTTTTTTTTACGACGATTAAGCGTGCTTACTCAATGGCTGTTAACGAATGTTAGAAATTCACACAGTTAGTGTCGTTATTTCCGTCGGTAAATAAGTCCATCGATTTGTTCCAAGCTTTGTGAAGCATTGCGTGTAAAGTTGAGGTCCTCCTCTTCTGTGACGTTGTCTAAAGGTAATATTTTTAAACTTAGGTTGTACTTTAGCTTTGCCTTTACCCTTACGATTCTTTAATAGGACTGTCTCTTCAAAAATGGTTAATTTATGTTTAATAGATAAATATTTGACACTTTAACTACCTTAATATATTAGCTAACGATAGTATATCTAAATATAATTTTCTTATAAATATAAAGGAAATAGTAATACTTTCAACTTACCTCTCTTATATCCTAACATGTTTTGTGAAAATAATTTAATTATTCTATTACTAACAAATTCTTTTATTTATTCTCTTACAAAATTTAGTATCTTCACTAATCGTACTACTCCCTAATTTGAAATCCTGTTAAGTATAGAATAAATTGTCTTTCTTTCATCTAACCGTATTTATATGCTAATTAACTTTGTGAAATAAGATCGAGATATTTGTCATTTACATATTCTCTCATTTATTCTCCGGCAAACTTTAATATCTCAACTACCTATATTACGCTCTAATCTGAAAACCTCTCTAACAAAGAGGCAATTAATGTCTTTTCATCTTGTAGTGTATATACAGGTCTTTGTATTTAGTTTAAATTTTAAAATAAATAATGTTTATTTAATGTATATAATTCCGCGGATTAGCGTTTTAAATATTATTTCTTTATCTTAACTATTCGTACTACTGACGGTTTAAATCCCTCCTCTATACTAAGTAAATTATGTTCTTTTCATCCCATTAATCACTTGCTTTTAACTCTTAACATCTTTAATAATTTTAGCAATTAAAGATTCTAATGTTTCAATTTCTTTAAGTTCTCTGACAATTAGCAAATTAATTTACATTTCTTTATCTCAACTGATACTAATCCGCCTCAATGTTAATCCCTCTTGTAGGAAAAGGAATTCCTCTTTCTTTTATCCTATTAAAGATCAGGAAATTTTTACTTTTACACTATTATCTTTTCTTAAATCAGTAAATGACTCTTGTAAAATGGGTATTTCCAAAAGTACTCTTGTGGATTTACGATTTATTTTAGAACTCTAACTCTCAACTAATCATAATACCCCGTATCTAAATCCCTCTTCAATGCTAGGAAACTTATGTTTCTTTCATCTCATTAGGAGATCGCCCATTACATTATTGTCTCGAATTAAATCAGTAAACGACTTTTTTAAAAATACGTATTTCTATAAATTCTCTAGCGGGTTCATAACTTATTTTACAATTCCCTCATCTCATCTGACAATAATACACTGTATCTGAATCCTTCTCTTATACTAGGGAAATCATCTTTCCTTCATCTCATCAAGATCGCCATTAACTTACACATTTATCTCTAATTAGTTAAACAAACAACTTAGATAAAACGCGTATTTCTATATATGTCTTTTGAGCGGAATCACAACTTAAATTACAAAGATTTGATCTCAACTATTCACAATATCCTGTAACATAAATCTCTCTTTTATGTTAAGCAATTCATATCCCTTTCATCTTATTAAGACATTTCACAGATCAAATACGCCAAAATACTTTGTAAAACAATCAAGCAATGTTTGTAATATGCATAATTGCATTGGACCCCGATTTCCATTCATAATTCTCACAAAAGAATGTGGTGAATAACCCACCCGTTCTTTCATAAAGCGCGGGTTTGCTTCTTCCTTTCTGAAATCTTTCCAACCTTTCCAAACTTCTTTCCAACAAGCATACGACAAAGACAATTGCATTTCAATTGTCCTTGCCCATCAATACCCCTTTCTACTTCTCGCTAGACCTGATATTCTTGCTGCGGTAGCTACCATTGTCGCTCTCGCTTAGTATTGTGGCACCACTTCACGACAATAGGACGGCGTCTGTATTGGAAAACAACACAAACAATTGTCCGGGATTTCAGAAGATCAATTGTTGGCTTTGATATTGTGAGGTTTAGTATAAGTCAAACACCTCCGCACCTTTCAGGAGTTTCTTTCTTTCTCTTCGACCACGACGATTTGGATTTCACAAAAGCTGGACTTTTACCTTAATTACTTTCCCAATCCGCTTCGCAGCGATATTTACTCTTTCGTACCACTCTCCCTCCCTGCGACATTCTCTCATACCAGAGTCAAAATGGCGCAAGTTGTTAATCTCGTCGGCGAGGATGCTGAGCAGAACCCGAATATCATAGACGACCTCCTAAAGACCTTGGATGGTTTCGACAGAGGCACCATCAACACGCTCAGCCAGATGGATCTCTCTCCTCTCTCCGCCATTCCAGGAGAGACCACGAGGCTCTGGACTGAAACCTCGACAACCACGCCTTGTCTCTTCCCCTCCTCCGACTGCTGGACCGCCAAACCACCCTCAACAACCCAGCTTATTCTTTCGACCTTGGATTTTCTTGCCGACCCCAACCGTCAGGAAAACCCCCAAAATATAGAATTCAACGTCTTCCACCGTGGAGAAGCTGCCTCCCCTGATCTTGAACGCAGACTAGCGATCACGCAGCTGCTAGAACCGGATCGAGCCAATCCCGTTCATTTCATCGGCTTCAAGATACGAGAGCTTCCAGATGAATTTCTAAAGTGTCCATTGGCGCTTTCAGAGCACGTGGAGCCGTATGAGAAGAGCGGGCATCAACTAATATTGACGCCGAAGTATACACTCTCTGATTTTCACATCGGTAAGTACTAGCAAGCCCCTTTTCCAGCCAGGACTAACATGTTCTAGATTCGACAGATGGACTTTCAGTTCCTCTAGGGGACTGTAAAAAGGTGTGGATTTGTTTCCCACCAACAGCAAACAATCTCGATTTGATTGCAAGAGAAGAAGGAAGAAAAGCGAAGATCCGAAGGATCGGAAAGAAACTTGAAGGAGGTGTGATTTTCGAAACCACTTCTGAGCACGCGGTCTACTTGCCTGTGGGCTGTATCCATGCGGTATTTACGACCACTGGAGGATTCTTGAATGCAATGGACTTCACAACTCCCGACTCAGTTGGCACGTACGCGTTGCTCTTCAATGCGAAGATTGATCGCAAAAACTCCTCTTTCGGGGATAGCTGCTTTAACTACTTTGGGAATAGTGTGGAGTTGTGTTTGGACGAGGGATTGGACTCTCAGAATGCGGAGGTGGCGGTCAAAGCCTGGGTGGAGGCTACGGAGAGAGTGTTGGACTATGCGGAAGATGATAGAAAACTTGTTACTGAGTGGAAGGAAAATTGTATGGTCTTCTGGAACCATTTCCTGGAGAAGTACCAGACGCAGAAACTGGCTTGTCCTTGTGGCAAATCGAAGAAGGGAGAATTCGTGGAGCATTTCCGCGAAAAGCATCTGTGGGCCCCTTCGCGGGAGAAGTCACCACGGCGCTCAAAATCAAAGACGCCAGGAGCATCAAAGCGTTCAGGTAGCGGCAGCTCAAAGGCCTCGGGCAGTGGCAGCTCAAAAGCTTCGAAAGCAAAGAAGCCCAAAGCCGGAAAGAAGGGTCCTCCCAAACCAGAAGCAGAGGCAAACGCACCGGCAGCAGAAGCACAAGGAGCAGAGGTCCAAGAAGAAGATGGCCCGGTAGAGGTCGCAGCACCCGCTCAAGTAGCGGTCAGAGAGGGATTGAGGTCTGAGAGGAAGCGCGGCCGTGAAGAAGTGGAGGAAGTGGAGGAAGAACCGGCGGCGCCACAAGCTGCAACTCGGGTTTCGAAGAGGATGAAGAGACCTGTGGTAAAATCGTGATGGACGAAGCTTTTTGTGGTGGTGCTGCTTAAAGCAATTTTGTACTGTAATTTGTATTTGCGCTCTGAGAATTGTATTTTGTTGATCATGGACATTACTTCTTTGTCCATCCACTTCTTGAATGCTCTTAATTAATCGTCGAGCCCCTGTAAAGTGCAATTCCATTTGATACTGCCACTTGAATAGATGCAAATCAGCCGACGGTCCAGATAGATACAACATTTCAATCCAGTGGGCTGATTACGGCAGCTGCCTGTTGATTTATTCAGTGTATGCCCAAAAATGTTGCCCGAGCCGAAGTCGAACACAAACCTCCTTTCTCTCTACAGTTAGGGCAGTTTACGCTCTCAATGTCAGAACTAGAGCAAGAAATTACCATATGAAAGACAGGACGACGCAAGTACTCATGATGAAAGCAATAGAGAGAAGATTGAGCAAATTCATGTTAAGAATTAACTTATTTGAACCAGACAAGTAAGACCGAGAGGTAGGGGATCAGTCTGGCAAGTTTGTATAAAAGTGCAAGGATTTGAGATCTTGAGGAAATTGAAAGCACTGAAGCTAATCTAAACAGCATATGGCATGCCATCATAGCAAGTATTATTGCACAGAGTACAAGATGCTGTATGATGGCTACATCGAAAATCAAGCAAGATCATCGGGCAACATACAGGATAGTATTACTCCATCCACCACAAGACTAAGATAGGAGCCGTAATTGAAGCTAATTAAGATGAACTGAATAATGGACTGTCGTGAGAGATATATATGATCGATAATTCGGGAAGAGGTGAAGGAAGTCCATTGAAGTGAGGTTGGCAAAAAGTGGGACTAATCTTAGAAATGTGGCTGGTGATCTAAGGTGTGGCGCCCAATTTGGCTTCCGCCTTGAAATCTTTCATATCTTCAACTTCATTTATCAGCATCTATCGATTTATTATTCAATACAGCCAGTCTATACCCGACTCAGATCCGAGCATACGCCAGACCTTCTCCGTACCAAGCGTGCAAACCCCAATCCGCACCCCTCCACTGTTCGGTCTCAAATTCAACCTCGACGTGGTCGTGTCCCACACCCTCGGAGGTGACCTTGAAACGTCCATTTGTCACCGAAGCCCAGCAGTTCTCTACTCTAAACTTGAGGATACAAGAGCCGGCTTCGATTCGCCGCTTTCCTTTGAGTGTCTCTGGGCCTTTGCCGTGTACCCTGTAGTTGTTCGGTCCCTGGTACCTTACCTCATATCTGATAATGACAGGCAATCCATCGATATTGGTAGCGGCGAAGTCATAATTACGATTGTAATCAGCTTTCGAAAGTGCTGGTATAAAGTCAGTTGCAAATTTTTGAGTACAGGCTGATAGAACAAACCCATGGTCTTTATAGTCTTGTGTTTCTTGGCTCCCTCCGTCTGCACAGATCAAGACTGTCGCACGAGCGTTTGAGTAGATTCTCTGGCTCATTAATGGAGTCCTCCATGGGGATTGACTTGGTTACAAAGCTACGAGTTCGTGCCCTATATCGACAACCTGTTCAATGATCTTCTGCGTCTGTTTCATCGAACAGTCAGAATGTTTAGCTTCACTCCAAGCATGTTCTTGACAGCAGCCCTAAGCTCATTTGGTCCCTCAAATACACCATCGCGAATTGAGATTTTGGCATCAATCGTGGAGTAGTGCTCCAGCAGAGCGATTTCGTGCTTGGGGTTTTCTTCTTGATGTATCTTTATCAATCTTTGAACCTCCACAGGGCTAGGCTGCCCTGACATGCCTCGGTCACGCAACTACATTCCATTCTCAAGTCAGAGTTTGTGAACTTCTCGAGAAAGTGAGCGTTGGCGGAAATTGCTCCCCCTTGCTCCTGTCGCCGCGGTGGAGAAATCGTTAAGCTTTTCGACACTGCTGGCAGTGAAATTTATGGTGATATAAAGTGAGGATCTGTTAGCTTGGCCGGCAATGCATCTTCGATTTTTTTTCGAATCCCGAAACTTCCTTGGACCTCTTCTTTTTACTATTCTCCATCCATTGCGTGGTTTCGGAAAGTCGCAATTCAGGCTGACGAGATTCTTCACGCCGATTATTGTTCTACTTGAATTTGACTCTATCAAACTTTGCAAGTCTGAACTCGAGGTCTTTGAGATCATCAGATAGCTCCTCATGCGCCAAAGCTGACTCTGCATCTTTTGACTCCTCAATAAATTCGAGAAGTTATTCCCGCACCTTCTAGATTTCCTTCTTACATTTGAATTGAACAGCAGGGATTTCCCCATTCAAAACAAGTCTCACCATCTATAAGCTTTTTCTCACTCCTATTCCCAATATGAAGTTTATCGCCGTCCTGATAGCATGATACTGGAACCACATTTTGTAGTCGATTATCGCTACAGAGTTTGCGAAGCATTCGCAACTCTTCATTTATCGATGTACCTACAACTCTGCCCTCGCTATGTGTATCTACCAAAGATGGGAGAGAGTTTGAGTGCGGATTCGTCTTCGATTTGATGATGTCCAGGTTCGGACGAGTCGAAAATTCATGGTGTTGAGTCCGATATGCAACCGGGGATCCGAACTAGAAGTTTCGAGTTCACAAAAAAGTCGCAGTTATTAGATGTCTTAAAATACTAGAATAGCTCCAAAATGATAATGCCGTTGCAGATTCTATCTCCTGAAAGCACGCGCATCTGCTGTCACCCCTCCACAAGGCTTTGTGACACATGAAAAGACATTTTTCCAAAACAGCGAGCTGATCTCATCCGGGCTAACACGCTAGGAACTTCTACAGTTTTGGTGTCTTATGTGAAAGAGCGACGAAGATGTTTATTATCTCTCCTGCGTTTGATGAGTGGGACCGTGGCTGGTGGACGCTAGCCCACCTCATCTGTGGCGTCATTTTCTTTCCTCCCGAACTCGGGAGGCCTAGCTGGAGGTCCTCGCCCGAGGTCGACAAAGTTTCTACATTCACAAACATTCCTCCATCAAATACCATATCGATTTCTCGACTTGGTTGTCCTCTTGATTCAAAGACTCTTCTTTCAGTCGCAAACATGATAATATTCGTGGCTTTCGTCCACCGCCCTTTTTGTACGACAGGACGGCTTCAGTGAGCCAACTGGAATCCCTAATTGTTATGAGCTGCATCGCCAGACAGCCTCACCGAGAATCACCAGCAAAACAGGGCGAAGAATTAACACCCTTTTAACTAGGATTCTTGTGAGGCTGCAGCAAATTTTATTTCAAGCGGCGACCCGTTTTCTGGCGTGGGAATATCTTTGGACACTCCCCTCTATGTTGACTGCACCTCATCAGCGATCAATTTGCCTATCTTACAGCCAAAACCGCACCCCAACCACCAAAAAGCCCAACGCCGCTTTCTCGCCCACCATGTCCGAGCCATTTGATCACCTCTCTGGTGACCTCGATTATTGGATGGGACTCGACCTCCTGGATGCTTGCTATGATCCGATGCCTGTTGGCATGGATCTTGGCGGGTGAGTTTTTTTTTAGCACTTGCTAACAAAAAGGGTGAAAGGCGCCCGCTGCTCGTTGTGCCACCGTTTGTGCCTCCCAATATTGCCAAGATGCAAGGGGGATGGCAAGACATTGAAAAGAATCCGACGGACTTCAATGTGCCACCTGATACTGACGCCGCCAACTTTTCAGGGCCACTTGTTGAAAGTGATTCCTCCCCCGGGACAACGGGTGATGGATTGTCTTCGAGTGACTACAAGAAGCAACAGTTAGTGATTTTTGACCAAGTCACGCAGTACGATGAACTGATAAAAGTATAGCGTGTGCAGTGTTTGTAGAAAGGACTTTGAATTTCGCTACCTGCTCAAAGCACATGCGCTGTTTGAATTTCATGACAATTTTGCTTGTCCAATTCCACATTGTGGCAAGTGTTTTATTAGCGACAATGATCTTTGTGCCCACAGCGAGGCACATCGCATCAACAGCCACAAACCTACGAGTCTCCTGTTTGACTGCGCTGAGTGTGGGGAGTCACTGTTATCCAAAACTGACGTTCTCCGGCATGCCAAAGAATCTCAACACCAGCCTTACGCATGTGTGTGTGGTGCCCGTTTCTCGAGACCCGATGTACTCAAGCGCCATATACATTCAGTCACCACAACCGAGCCATTATATCCCTGTAATTTCTGCCGTCGCCATCGTGGCGCGGATGGATTCAGACGAAAGGATCATTTAACGCAACATATGCGAAACTACCATCACCACGATCTTCACCACGAGCGGAGACTTATGCATACTTTCCCTGTCTGCCCGCACCCCCAATGTCCACAACACAGAGTTGAGTCTTTCAAAAAGCTTCCAACGAGTTTGCAGCTTCAACAAAAGCCGTTTGCAACCCAATCTGCTTTTACAAAGCACATGCGGTATGAACACAATGAATCGGCATTTCCCTGCGACGTGGCTGGATGTGATCGAGTCGGGAGAAAGGGTTACGCCCGAGAAAAATCTCTGAAAAAGCATCGTCAAGATTCACACCCCGAAATGCCTTACCATCAGGCCAGGGAACGAGATCGGTACTTCACATGTGGCGGTTGTGGAAAGAAACTCGCGTCACGTCAATCACTTACTGTACACGAAAGTGGCTGGAATGGAGAACTTAAATGCAGAGCCCTGATCGAGGCTTTTGCCAACTCGTCCTGAGTAAATCTTGCCAACTCGTCCTGAGTAAATCTTGTCAACTCCGTCATGGCGATCGACCACCGCGTCCGGCCGCTCCGGCGGAACAAAGTCGTGGATCACATACCTGTTTTCTGACACGCTAAACAACCAATGTTTTAACAATATCAAACCCCTTGTCTGTGGACTTTCCCACTGATTGATCTGAAGCGGGTATTTTAGCTTTTGTTTTCTTCTATTTTTCCACACGACTCCCCTCTCTCTGACGGTTAATGTAAGCGGGGTATAAGGGAACTTCTAGCACTGTCATTACATGTAATATTTCTAGCCTCATAGCTTATTCTTTCAAAATAAATCAAACAGTCATTACCGCAAATATTTGAGTAAATGACCCCCATTTACTGTCACCCATTGCGTGACCTACTATCAAAGACACATCCCCTCGACCTGCTGAACAGAGCTTCATAACGTGCAAGCGGGAGTAGAGACAACCACATAGGTGACATGTTTTACAGACGTGGTACAGTCCAGAAACCACCTAGGAGTAGTGAGATAGTACTATTCTTGTTGTCGCTTATGATATCTTGCACAATAAACTGTATACGGAATTGGCTAGGAGCATTGACCTTCAGTAGCGGGTGGAGGGGATAAACTATAACCTGCTAATCGGGCGAAGAAGATGTATACACGGAATAGATACATACATAACAGTCGATTGTGATTAGGGTGACAGGCCTGCCGCAGGCCTAAGAGTCCTGAATTTGGTTGGAAACCACTACTTCTGGCCCCGACGAAGATGTCTTACGCAATACCTGATAAGCTAAAAACGCTACGAGCAAGGACGAGATCAACTAATCAAGAGATATACCGAATAAAATAAACACCATGTACGTACTCAACATAATTCAAATACTTCAAATTTCAACTTATATTATATACACCACTCACCTCACCCCCCTAACACCCCCCGGAAAACT